GGGCAAGGCCTGCCGGGGCGGGCGAGGGGAGCCGCGGGCCTGTCCTTGCTCGGCCGAGGGGACAGCGCTGACCTCCAAGCGGTGGGGAGGTTGTGAGATGAAAGTCTGATATTTCGAGGACAGACCACACCAAATCGGTTTAAATCTGTCCCGGAGCTTCGTGAGCTACTGTCGGCAGGTGTGCTGAGAGGAAAAGAGAAGAGTTTGTTGGGGTAGCAAAACCAGCGTAAGCTAAGCTTACTGGCACTCGGCGTGGTTTAGGGTTTTGGTTTTATTTTGTTTTTTTTGGTTTGCTTTTTTTAAATGACTGGGTGGGAAGTGTATGTCTCTTCACCTACATGGATGTGCTGAGTGTTTTGGTTACTTTTATGTAACTTTCCTTGCAGTTGCATAATGGCAGAAGCAACCGTCTCTCCACTGAAGCACTTTGTGCTGGCGAAAAAGACAATCACTGCCATCTTCGACCAGCTGCTGGACTATGTCACTGAGGGAGCAGCTTTTGTGGAAGGTTAGCTTTCGACTTAAACACAAGGGTCTTGTCTGTTGCTTTGAATATGTTTTACAGCAGCGTGGTGTGTGCTACAATATGTATCAGTATGCTGTTTGTGTAAGCTTATGCCTTCAGAAATAGTCATGTTTTCATTTGACATTGATTATTTTCGACTTAGGCTAGCAGGAGTGCCTAGAATGGTTACGTATATGAAAAGTTGATTGCATCGCTTGGGCTGATAGCCTCACCTCCTTTCCATGAGGGTGAAAGCTTAACCACCTCAGCATTTATAGTCATTTTGCGGTTTCTTTTGCATAAAGGAAAGGAAAAACAGGTTCTCTTATTATTCAGTAGGAAAGTAGATCATTGTGATGTAATGCAAAGAGCCGCTGGTTACACCCTCAGAAGTTTTAGCAACATGGAGGTGTATGTGTCGCCACATAGAGGTGGTTGCTCATCACCCTAGTGAACTCTGCAGGGAGAAGACAGCCCAGCCTAGCTGGTGTGTCCATGAGAGGTCCTAGCTTTCCTTTCTGAAGGAGGCAACTGTCACAAAGAGCGGGGCAAATCAGCACAGCAGGCTGTGTTCGCAGGGCTATTGAATCCAGCAGTTAGATTATTGATCAATTTGAAGTGGTTTATGTCATGATTTCACAAGTGCTTGCTGTGGAGCTGTCAAATGACAAGGGCTAATGCCAGTATCTGCAGTGGGGTTTTGTTTTCTTACTGCTGTATAATTAAAATTTACACAGGTCTTTGTTGGCATGTGAAGTACTGATAATCTATACCTTGTATGACGTACTCTGTACGTGATTGCTTTTATGTTATTCTTTTTCTGTGTGTAGCAACATACAAGAACCCAGAGCTTGAACATATAGCAACAGAAGACGAACTAGCAAAAATACAGGCATATAAAAATAAGTTAGCAGTCATCGGTGAGGTGCTTTCACGGAGACACATGAAAGTGGCTTTTTTTGGCAGGTAATGAATGGAATTGCCAGAACTTAATTTGATCTTTTTTTTCTCTTGCCGGGCTTAGTGTCCGTATTTCTAATTTAAGTGTACTCGAATTAGTATTTCATTGTAGAATTATTGTTTGAAACTAATGTTCACTCTTATGTAATTGATGCTGAACATTTCTTTGATGCCATCTTGCTTTGTGACTGTGGATTATTTATGTCTGTCTTGTTACATGTGTTTCATTGATAAACTTTGTAAAATAATTAGCCTGTGTAGTCTGTTATTTGACTTGGGAAGGTCTGAGTTTGCTGTCATCTTCTCCAGAATGGCTTTTGGTTTTTTAACGTGGTGGTTTTGTTTGTTTAATATCTTTGTTTTACTGGACTGTTACTGTTGAGAACTTTTGTTTGTGTTTGATCACAAGTACTGAAAAACTAAACTTTGAACTGTTTGTGTTTCCGTATATAAGCGGCTGAAGAAAAATAGACAGTTAGAGACTGTTGCCTTGTCGGTTGTATCATTAGTCTAATAGATCTGTGTGATAATTGTAAGGGATAACAGTAACAATGTACTGTACAGCTTATAGATCAATCTGAATGAAGCTATGAATTTCTGCTTTCCTGAATCACTAATTAGGAAAAGGTCTAGTTCACAGTCCTTGGTGGTATTACGACAGACCAAGTGTCAAACCTTTTGCATATTTCGATAGCATTTCCAAAGTTACGGGTGATTTAAATTCACTTTGTTCTAAAAAACAAAAGTATTTTTAGTATTAGAAAATTTTTAACTTTGGTCAAGGGTGGGTGGGAAAGAGGGCAGGAGAAAAGGGAGTTAAAGGTATTAGTTGCACCTGAAATGTGTTACTACATAAGAAGCGTTCTAAAGAGATGTTGTCAGGTGTCTAGATCCAAAGCACTGAGGTTTTATGTGTCTCTGCTTGTATGTATTGTGTTCTGCATTTCAGTCTCATCTTAGTAGAAAAGTCTTAAGTTTTCAGTGAGAAATTTGGATTGGGTCTTAACACTTCCAGTAAATACCTGCATTCCAGACGTTGTACCATTCTGTTCCTACAAAATGTGGAGGGTGTAGAAAGATAATAAAAATCTACCTTACTGAACATGAAGTCAGATATGAAATAGTGAAGTCCTTCTAACAGACTATGGTCCCAGTGCTTTCAAATGCTTTTATGTGTCTGATTAGTCTGGGGGCTGTTAGTCCGCATTGCTTCAGGAAGAGATAGATTTTTCTGTGCTTAAATTTAAGCATGTGGTTACATATTTTTCCCGGAGTATGAATCTTCATGTTTTAGTTCTAAAAATTCTGTAATAGTATTGGAAAAAACATGTACAACAGTGGTCATACCTTCATTTTGGTAAAAGTAGTTCAGCTATTTAAAGAAAAACAATGAAAGGATCTGGGATAGAGAAATCGGTTATATCTCAGCCTTGATGTTTCACGAAGTTAAAAGCTGAAATCACTTACAAGCTGTGATGTATGGTAGAAGTTGCTTTTGCAAAGGGCAGAAGTTCGGAGCAGGAAAAAGGGAATCTAACTCTCCCTCTGACATTTTGAATAAATTTGTGAACTGTTGTACAGTGAGCACTGAACTTTTTCTAGAAGAAGTAGCTTGAAAATGAGTTATAGTCTACGTGACTTCATACTGTTGTGTAATAGCTAGACCTCAGATATTTATGGGTGAGGGGTAGAGAGTTAGTGCAAAGTAGGACATTGCTGAGAACTTCCAGTTCTTGCAGAATCTTGAGTTGATGGACCAGTTCCTTTTAATGAACAGTGTTTTGGTTAATTTATCTACCTTTTCCTTCTGAAATAAGGACAAGACTAAGTTCCATTATTAAAGACAGCATTTACATTATAAGGATTATGCACAAGAAATAAATTTGAGGTGTTTTTTGCACATTGTTTCACGTCTTTACTCTAGGAATCTTCATTCAGTTGAGATTATCATCCATTAAATTGTTGAATTTAATTTAAATCCATTAATTGAGAATTCCCAGACAGCAATCCTTTGAAACATATCTGAAGGCAGTAGTACAATGATGCTCCTTTTGTACCTCGTCTCATGCCTAGAAGACTCCAGAAGCAGCAGTTCCTTTCTGACTGCTAAAGATCAAATGTTTCTCTAAAGACAGGTTAAGTTACTGAGTTGGTAATTTCACGAACATTTTAAGGAGTCAGCATGGATTATCACCACAGAGGGTAGTGCTTCCCTGCCACTGTCATGCAGCATTCTCCTTGTGTCCTCTTCCAGCATCCCTGGAATTCCTTTAGCTTTGCTGTGATCAGGAATGTGGAATTGTTGTCTGATCAGAACATAATTCCGCCCAAAATGTTATATGTATTTTCCATCGGTCCTTTTCTATAGGAATGCTAGGGCTGGCACAAAGAAGAGGGCGGACTACGCCCTTATATGGGACAGCATGCTGTGATTTAGCAATTGCTTTAAGTTGATCTAAGGCATCTTTTTATGCTGGGTGCTTTTTCCAGTGTAGCAAAGTTGAGTCAACATCTTTTACAAATTCCTTACACAGCTTGAGGTATACCAGATAAAGCATACTTACCAGTACAGGTTGGGCTTGTGGAGCCCAGCATGTGTTATGCAAATTAAATTGATTTTCTTGGTTGGATAGGCAATGTTGATACCAAGACAGATTTTTGGAATTGATATTCAGATCAACTTTTCCTGTACTCCCTATTCTTTTCTGGCAAGCTATGCTGTACTGGCTTGAAGCTCTGTCACCCGAAACAGCTTGCAGTATGTTGGTCTGAGGCAATTAAATGGGGGTGCATTCAGTTCAAGACAAAGGTATGTTTAATGCTGCTGAACTGTACTCAAAGTGCTTTTATTTTCTATCCCTCTAGAACAAGCAGTGGGAAAAGTTCGGTCATTAATGCAATGCTGTGGGATAAGGTACTTCCTAGTGGGATTGGCCATACAACTAACTGCTTTCTCAGTGTGGAAGGGACAGATGGAGATAAGGCTTATCTTATGACGGAAGGATCAGATGAAAAGAAGAGTGTCAAGGTACATTTTTTGAATGATTAACGCTACTTTTCACAGTAACTATTTCTTAAAAGATCTGTCTTTTAACAGTGATTTCAAGTCTAACAAAAGTATAAGGCTAACTCGTTCTGCGTTTTTAAGTTCGTTTTAGTTTGTTAGTTATTCCCTCCTAAGTAAGGTCCACTTCACAATTTTTCTTGAATATTTCAGAGAAACAACTATGTGTCTCATTATAGCATATGTTGAGTGATTCATTTTTATAGGACTGCAAGTAAGTTCTGTTACTTGTTAAGGATTTGGAATGTACCTGTCATTTGGCCTTATAGTGCTTAGCTTATTTAACTGATATGTTAACTGATATGTTTAACATTGATATGTTAAACCTCTGAGGCAAATTCATGATGATGCTCAGTATCGCACACTCTAGCCCTGTAGTGAACAGCCCTTTGTGTCTCCAAAGAAACTCCTGTCTGAGTTTCAAGGTGCAACTTGTTCTTTAGATCCTGGTGAGTCTAAGAGCTTAAATAAATAAAATAAAATTGCAAATACTCACCAGAAGGAAGTATGAACTCTGTTATCCTGTTCAGGATAGATCCTGTTCAGGTTTGCTTGAGAACCGAATTAGACTGGTTTACAGACTTGTTTGTGGTGCATATTGATGTTTGTGTTCTCGTTATGCTCTTTATAGACAGTGAATCAGCTTGCTCATGCACTTCACATGGATAAAGATTTGAAAGCTGGCTGTCTCGTCCATGTCTTTTGGCCCAAGTCAAAGTGTGCCCTGCTGAGAGATGATTTGGTTTTAGTGGACAGGTATGTTTTCTGTTTTACTAAATGTTTTCTTAAATAAACTAGCCATTATAATGTTTAGAAAAGAGAGTGATTTACTGATTGTGTTTTGGTTGTTAGGTTGCAAAATTATTGAAAGGTTTGGGGTCTTTTTGTTTGTTTTTTGAGAGTACGGAGTTTGTTCTTTTGTGTATACTGTTGCCTGTCATCACCCCACTGATTTTGGCCTTGTAACGGTTGGAACAGACAAGTATCTTGTGATTGAGCTGAATAAGGAACTAGCTTTTGGCTGAGGATACTTCTGCCTTTAAAACAAACAGTATGGAAGTGTGAATAGGGTTGTTGCAGCAACAACCTTTTGCCCATCTCCTGTCTTTAAACGCCTCAGACTACTTATGTGAAGTGTAAGCAGTCTGGACTTCATTTTTAAAAGCTTCTGATAAGAGTTGCAGTGCCTAGATATCAAAATAATGGGTGACCTCAAAACGTAATTGTGACCGCGTTGGCTGTGTGCGCCTATGTGTTAGGCATTTCCTGCAGTTTGGGTATTTAAAGAATTCTGAAAGCTGTTGCTTTGTCTATGTCAAATGCCCGTGTTCCTCGGCACTGAGGTATGACCTGATAATATTTTTTTCCAAACTGTTAGATGATCTGAACCTAATGTATGAATCAATGTAGGTTGAATTTGAGAGTAATTCACTCAAATATGAGTGAATTTGTAAGTATGATTTCTTCATATCCATCAAAATGACACCCAGGGCGTATTCTGATAAATTGTAGTGGTTTTTGTTGCATCTCTAATCTTGCACCTTTGAAATCACTTGGAGTTTGTCATTATTTTCTTGGGTGCAAGCTCAGGTCCTGCGTTAGTCATGGACAAGGCCAGCCCGGCTGGCCCAAGGAGCTGGTTGGTTTGATGCACTGCTGGGCTTCTAAGCTTATGCAGTTGTGCCGTCTCCTTGGGGATGTGTGCGCAGCACAAGTATGCTGGAAGCCCGGAAGGGATCCTTGCGTGGATATGATACGAGGCATGATTTGATCTGTACAGTCTTGGTTGCTGAAGGTGAAATGTAAAGGGAAAAGAAAACAGCCTGGATTCTGAGAGAACAGGTAGTCAGAAGGAGAAAATAATCTTTTTACAGTTGAATAGAGAAAATTTGAACCAGCGATAATTGAGGGGTTTCAAACATGGCCTAATGCTCATATTCCACTTATTTTTTTAAAAACTGACAGCACTATAGTTTTAACTTCATTTTAGTTTTTTATTAAATCTATGCACAGCTTGGATAGTATATCACTTTAAAGTGTGCCTATATTAATGGAAAAAATATTTTATGAACAGCTGTCCTTTTTGATTAAAATCTAAAGCTTGGGATACAGGGAGGGGGACCATTCTGTGAGACTGCCTGGATTTCTGATGGACTGCCTGTTGCTTTTCTTGGCAATTATGATCTACATACTTACTCACTAGAAATTGCATTTTGGAACGAGAAGATGGTCCAATGAGCGAGTGACTGATAAATGCTAAAAGGTAATTGGCTTTTGCTATGTTTGCCTGAGGCTTGAGGTAGCATCAGCCTAAAGATATAAAGCTTTGTATCTTCTTACAAGGCCCTTAGGCAATCCTGCTCTATTTTTGTTGGTTTATAAAAATCAAATACTCCTTTGCTGTGTAAATACGAGTTTGTTTTTTGTTCCCAACAGCCCCGGCACAGATGTCACTACAGAACTGGACAGCTGGATTGACAAATTCTGCTTAGATGCTGATGTGTTTGTCTTGGTTGCCAATTCTGAATCAACTCTCATGAACACGGTATGATGTGCAATGATTTTACATTACATCTTCATTTAAATATTCAGCAGTTCCGTAACTGAAATGGCTTCTCTTAGATCTTTAGTGAAGCTCCCATGAATCATTACACTTAGATGTTGTGAATAGGATTTGGAGGTGGGAGGCAAGAAACAGTGTATATCCCTCAGTAGGGAAAGGAGAACCAAGTTTCTTACCAGCTTTGCTTACTCTGACTTGAGCGTCGCATTTGTCCTTTCTAGCCCAGTTTCTTTTTTGATAAATAGATGATGTAGTGCTTGTCTTGCTTTACAGTTTGTTGATATTTGTCAGCTGAAGACACTTGTATTATCAAAGAAATAAGTTATGGAGTATTTCATATCCAGAAGTTCAGTAAAATACACAAAGTAGGTGAAGGAAGTTGAATTTCTGTCTTGTTCCTCATATGTTCTTGTCACAGAAGAGGGTGAATTCCCTCGATACACCTTGTGTTGAGGACAAGTGCTACAGGTTCCCCTCTTTGGGCTGTGTTTATTCTGAGGAAGATGCTAGCAGTAAGCATTCATGTTGCATAGTTCTGTGCAGCATGGATAGCTGAAGATGTTTTAACACATTTAATCTATAAAGCTTTGTTTCAAGAGAGGGAAGATTTGTGTATACCTTGCAGCCTAAATGTCATATGACTTGTAGGAGAGCATGCAAGGTAGCAAAAGAAGCTTTTGTGATGCTCAAAATACAAGACTTGAGACTTGGTTTAATTTCGTAGTGATCTCCAGTTTTGACTGAACTAAGTGTTTTGAATGCAGGCAATATCAATGTAAAGTTTCTAAGTTATTGGAAGTGTGACTGCCAGAATGTAGTACGGTGCTGCTGAGAAATCTCTTGAAAACTTTTATTAAGCCTACTGTAGACAAATAAAATGCTCTGGTTGTTCTGAGCATAGTTCTGACGTGCAGTGTCTGAACTTTTCTAATTATTGCAGCAATTTTTAGTACAATAAAGAACTGAATGTACAAAGACAATATTTCCCTGCATTCTAGCAAATTAGAATAGTTTGGTAGAAATCTGAGAAGAACATAAACTGAGTTTAAAAACATTACATTCCATCTTCTGAGACGAATCCACAAAGACTCAAATACAGAAGGCATGTGATTTAAAAGGGGAAAAAAAGAAAATTCTGACGACATCCGAGGCGAAGAGAGGATTTGGCACAACTGTGGCTTTATCATCTTCATTATCTTGCATGAGGGACACTTTTTGGCTTCTAGTATGGAGAGAGTCTAGAAGTTTTTTTACATTACGTGCATACCATAGTTGGCTTGGGGGTTTTTAATTAAAAAAAGGAAGAAGAAAAAAAGATTGCATTTCAGTGAACATCTCATTACTGTGTAGAAACACAGAAACAACGGGACCTGTGTGCCAGATTTCAGTTTGGTGTAATGAAGTAACAGAGAAAAGGCCGAATTTGATTTGGTTCTCTCATTTGCTCAGAAAAATGAACCATTAAAAACAATCTTGACTGAGGTAATAAATATGCAGGAAAGATGAATAGGCTGAGCATCTACCAGAAGATTCTGTTAATGTTGTATTTGTCTGATGATAAACACCCTGTCACGGAAGTGCTACTCTGCTTTTTAATGTGATTTTTGGCCAATCTTTGTTCCTTGTTGGACATGGCTGAAAGCTGCTAAATAGAAATAGATTAGTGTTGCGCAAATAACTTATCTCCGGTGTTGTGTCCAGAATACGTGGTGGTGTCCTGCTGCAGATTCAAAAAGTTTATGGCAACACAGAGATATCTTCAGCTGTGCTGAGTGGGGATTCACTCCGTCATGATTTACCCATTATGACTATGAAAACAGCAGTGATGGGTGGTAGGTACAGGCAAGGGACCTAAATAGTTTTTCAGGTACATGTACATCTTATTTTAAAAATTCAAACATTCGGCTATGCCTTTTTTCCTGTGGCTCAAGCCATATATCCTCGTACAGGAAATGTAACTTGTCTGTAGTGGAAGGTGACGTTACCTAGTTGAAGAATACAGTTAGAGGATGTTTTTCTGGATATAGAAACCAGATTTGGCAGGGTGAACAGGAGCATCTTGGAAGTTCAAATAAGGAAGACTTCACAGTTTTAGCCAGGCATCTTGCCTAAACTAAATGATCATGTCTTATGTGTTCTTTTTCCCTTCCTCTCTTCCCCAAAAATATTTTGAGTGTTACACAATTGCAAACAAATTGAATAGAGGGCTAGAAGTATTAAAGGAGATGAAGTTTTGTGATAGTCAGAATGAAAGAAGGGGGGGCGGAGGCAATGAATGTCTTGTTAGCTTTAGAAAAATAGACTTTATTTTCCAATGTTTTCTAAACTCTTTGTTTTGGAAGTTTTCTTAATTTGTATTTGTACCTATTTTTAGAGGAGCATGCAATATCTTTGACCTTTATCATTGGCGTCAGTTTTGAGACATTTGGTGACTTTCGAACTATCGTAAGCCTTTTTCTGTTTTGGATATCTGTGGTTTTTAGTGCTAATGAATTCTTTTTAATAAACTTTTAAAAAGCTGGATTAACTTCAGAATCTGTTACAGAAGAAAGCGTGACTGGTTTGGATGTCTGGGGAGTTTTCTGTTTGTGCTTTAATTCTTAGGAAAAACATTTTTTCCATAAAGTGAACGAACGACTTTCCAAGCCAAACATCTTCATCTTGAATAATAGATGGGATGCCTCTGCATCAGAACCAGAATATATGGAAGATGTGAGTGACTTGATGGCTCTTATTTGGGTTGATTTTTTTAAAAAATACATGTATAAAGAAATGGCCTCCATATTCATAAAAGCATGCTAAATTGCCTAGGTAGTACAGTTATTAATATGAAAACATGAGCTTTGTCTCTTATTAATAAAAGGATAAGTTATTTGGTCAGAAAATGGAAATAACTTACTCCTTGTTCAGAGCAAAAAGCAACCTGCAATTCAAACTACAATATATGCAGGCAGGTGGTACAGTGGGAAGCTTGTTTAGAAGCTTTTTCATCCACAGTTAAGCCTATTTGAAGATTTAGTCTTTGTGTTACCTTTTATTTCTGTAACACAGCCTGAGGGTACAGATTATACATGTATATGTGCATAGAGTAGCTGGCAAAGTGCAGTGTTAGATGGTAACAGTTTGATATGCTCTTCAGATCTTTCCAACGGCAACTAGCTTGCAGTGATACTTATTTCTCTGTGTATGGGGAATGAAGTGGTTACCCCAGTAACTGACTGAGATCTCTGCCTTACATAAATATGGACAGTTGTAGAAGGAAAGTATTGTTGCTTCCAGGGCTGTTTCAATGGTTAAAGGCAGCTGCTGCATCAGTAGGATTAGAAGGCATCTGCTATCTAAGGGGTTGTTCAGCATCTGTTTCTGACTCTGACATTCTGATTTGATGACGGCTCAATTTTTGCCTTTTTTTCATGAGCTTTTTCTCTTTTCCTTAGGTGCGTAGGCAGCACATGGAGCGCTGTCTGACTTTCCTAGTTGATGAACTCAAAGTTATTGATCCTGTAGAAGCGAGGAATCGTATCTTTTTTGTTTCAGCAAAGGAAGTTCTGAGTGCCAGGAGACAGAAGGCCCAAGGAATGCCAGAGAGTGGTATGTAGGAACTCTTGCTTTTCCTCAAATACAGAAAAATATCATAAAACCTGATAAACAAAAGTATTTAAGATGCAGTCACTGCTGTGAGGTATTGCTCTCTCCCTTATGGTCTGTTATGTTTCACAGGTGGAGCGCTTGCTGAAGGGTTTCAAACAAGATTCCAGGAATTTCAGCATTTTGAGCAGATATTTGAGGTATTTATGATGGGCTTTTTAGACTACCTGTTTTTTAATGCAAAGATAGCTCTTGCTTATGCTTAGTTTAATTTTACGGAACTTTATCCATGTTAGCAAGTGGAGGAGTGTATCTGACAGCTTTGCCTTATCTGTGGGTTCTGTTCATCTCTTCTCACCTTGAGTAGCGGGTGATTGTTGGAAAGAAGTATTGCTCAATGAGGGAAGGGCAAAACTTTTCGCTCCTGTTTTGAGATCTCAATACCAATATAGTCTATATAGAAAGAAATTATGGTCTTAGAAAGGTGTATATCACAGCCATGAGCTGGTGAAATGTTTGCGGTATAGTAGGCCTTATTTTGTTCTGAAGTTGTCGCTTTGTAATTAATTATTGTAATTCAGGACACAAATAGTAAGAAATTCTGTTTCACCAATGTGAATCTAAATATTTACTTGCATTTTTTAAAGCCAGAGTTTTGAAACTATCACCATTATCTACCTCTTAGCTGTGATAATCTGAACATTAACACTGTTTTTGCATCCTTGTTGCTGTACAGAATCCATCCTTCAACGTCAGTTTAGCTATATTCATAGACAGAGTTCACAGTTTCTTCAGAAGTAGGACTGGCTAGACAGTCGAGTGATTCCTTTGTGATAGGATCCATTCGTCTTGCTGAATTTGATAACTCTAATTAAAGCCATTCTTGGATATCTTGAGGCATCTTGGGTATGCCTCAATGTTTTTTTTGCGGTATGTATTGGCATATCTCATGCAACATGAACCTGAACAGTATGACTGTAGTTTGTATACAGCAAATGCTCGACGGCTCTTGCATGCCTGAACCAGTAATTCCTTCTTCGGTATGTTTTTAAAAAAATCAAACTGCCTCTGAAAAGTATTTCTTCTCGCATTACAACAAACCCATTTGGCCTTAGCAAAACCAAGTTATGTAATGATGTGTGTATATCAAAAAGGTGTTAAAATAATAGCTTGATTCAGTCTTGCATAAGCAAGAAAGTGTCATACTAAATTTTAAATTTAATCCTTATCCACACTCTTAGAATGTGTGACTGAATTGTTGAAATGATTGGTTCAGAATACCAGCAGGGCCTGAGTCCACGAGGCATGAAATTTTGTGCTTGTGTCACTAGCTGTAGCCAAACACACATTTTTGTTTGTAATTTTTGTCCTTAGAATTACCATCAGAAACTTTCAACCAGTAGGAAAAAAGTGGAAATTAAGGTTCTAAATCAGTTACTGTTCTTTAGCATATTTTACCATGTGCTGTACCCAAAGCTTTTTTGACAAAATCACTTACAATTACAGTTAAGCACTCAACACTTAGGATACGTCAGGATTAAGATGGGTGTATGATTTATTGAATCGTGTCGTGCTGCAAGTGCTCAGCACATCTGTAAATCAGATGTCACCATCTCAAGTTGGCCGCTAAAATGAGAAGCATCCATCACAAGGGAACAACCATGACGAGTTTCTTTGGCAGAGGCTGGGACAAAAAACAATTCTGTGGCAGCAGTGTATGGCCTTAAAGCAACTTTTTTCGTCTTTCATGTTACCTGTTTCATTTGTTGCACACCTTCTGACTCCAACAGTGAGAGTGGATTCTGTAATGATTTTCCCTACTCAGCCATGTTGCATCTTGAAATGATAATGAATGGCTTTGAATAGGAGTGTGATCATATCACTTAAAGAGCATGACAACATGTGCTAAATTAAGATTGCCAAAGCAATTTAAATTTCGAGTGTCTGATGTTGCAGCCTGTTTCACATTCAGGTTTTATGGGCAATTTCCTAAGTTATAAGGGCATTTTATTTGCTTTTAAAGCAAGGCTG